TATATAGATATATTTTAAACTCTAACGATTAAAAGAATCTAATATATAGTCTACTACTTTAATACTAATATTAAATAACTATTTGTTGGAAATATAAACTAAGGCTTTTCCTTTATTATAATACTAAGTTATTAAAGATTAAATAATATATATAATTTATATTTTAATTTAATTAGATAAATCGATAGTCTAGGCTAAAGTCATCTTAACTAGAGTCTATAATAAAATTTTCTAGATATTAAAGTATTTTAATCTTAATTTTATTATAATCTTAGTAAGAATAATATTATATTTTATATTTATATTATTATCAACTTATTAATACTATTCTAAAAATAGTTTATTTTACTAATTAAATAGATTATAAAGATTTATAATTTTATTATTATCTTTACTTTTATTTTTTAAAGATAGAATATAAATATATAGTAAAAACTTAGTTGCTAATAATTTAAGAAGAAGATGATCTTATAGTAGATAAGAAAGCTATATCTTAATAGCTTTATATATATTATCATCATTCTTTAGAGTTTATAAAGGATTTAAATAAGTCTACTTTTAGACTTTAGCTATAGCTATTTTAGTTAAATCTTCTTCTTATATAAATAAAGAACTTTTATAGCTAATATTTATAAAATATACTAGATAAATATCTTAAGATATATTATTTGGAAGGATAGGCTAAGTCTTTATAATATTATTTATTTAACGAGAGTAGTTAGTGTTGACACTTAAATAAGTATTATAATTATGATTTTTGAGAGTTTTATACTACTTTTAGGAAAATAGAGTATTTATATAATTTATAAAGATATATCTTATCTTATTATAGTTATAGTAAATAATGTTTGATTAAATACTTTTATATTTAGTATTGTTATTATAATTATGATTTTATATAGATAAAGTGAATATATTATAAGATATATTATATATTAATATTAGTAAATATATATATAATATATCTTTAAATATTATTATTATAAGCTTACTTAACTAGTTTGTCAGTTTCTTAGTAAGGATAAAACTATCTATTATTAAAACATTATTATCTTTATCTTAGAAAGGATTTAAGGCTTTAAATGATACTGTTAATAATGTCAAACCTTAACGAATATTATTAAATATAATAGTCTTTAATATAAAGTCATACTTCTTAAGCTTCTCTTCTTATAGAAGATAAGACTATAAACAAAGTTAAAAAAACTAGTTAATTTTACTATCTATTATACTTATAAGAAAACATTCAATCAATATCATTTGATTATTATCTTATATATATTAAGATAACTTATTTATATATTAAAAATAGAAAATCAATATCTTATCATTATTATAATAAAAAAAATTAATCTAGATATAAAGATTATATTATCAAATATTAAAGTTGTTTTTACTATAATATTCGATGAATATAGTCTTTAGTTAAAGCTAATCTTTCTTAATCTTAAGAAAAAGTTATATAAATTACTAAGATTAAGCCTTACCTTTTAGACTATTATAAAATATAAAATAATAAAATTGCTAAACCTTAAGATTGTTAGATTTAATAATATTTTATATAGAATATTCTATATATATAAGATAATCCTTAATATAAAGCTAGATATCCTTATTTAAAAGTTTATAAAACTTTAGTTAAAATATGATAAAAGACTTAATATTATTATAATTTAGAAAGAATATAATATCTAAAATATCTTTAATAAATAATGATAATTTAGATAAGAGAAAATAATATCTTAAGATTAATAATAGATATAAAGATAGTTTACTAATAGATTTAATAATAGGAAAAAGTAGAAGATTATAGTATAAGAATATAATCATTAGTTATATATTGAAAATAAGTATATAATAGTATTTTTCTTTAGGATTATAAACTAATAAAGATATATAGTTAATATCTTAATCTAAATTAGATTTTATAATAAAAGAAATATATATTAGCTTTTAAAAGCTAATATATAAAGTTGGTAAGTAAGTAAAGAAAATAATTAAGCTTAATAGTATAAATATAAATATAATATAGTTAACTTATAATAATCTTTAACTTAGTAGATTATTAACCTAATAGATTATATATAATATATTTAAGTTAAAAAATATAAAGTATAAAATTAAACTAAAGATAAAGAAAAACAAAAGACTTAACTATAAATACTAGACTATATATACTAGATGCTAATACTCTTACTATATAAGTTGATTCTATTAATTAAAAAGTATATTATATATAAGATAAATATAACTTTTGCTAAAAATATATTTTAGATTTCCTAATATAAATAAGAGTCTTATAATAATATTTAATATAAAATTATATATTAAAATATAACTTTTATATTAAAAATAATTATAATATTAATAAATAGAAAAAGTTTGATTATTTAATAGAAAGTTACTTAAGATAAGATATTATTATTATATATATAAAATATATCTACTATATAAGTTAGAAAAGTAAGTAAATATAAGGTTAAATATAAAAGTAAATAACTAAGTTAGTATAAACTTATGATAGTTTAAGTTATAACTATCTATTATTTTTTTCAAAGATTTTACTTAAGATAAAATCTACCTTTAGAAAGTTATATAATTTAATATTCTTTTAATAATTAAAGTATATAAAATAAAGAAAAATTTTATACTATAATATATTATATAAGCTTAAACTTTAGTATTAAACCACCTAATAATTTATATTCTAATTATCTACTTTTTAATAATATATCTTACTAATATTTAAAGTCAAATATTTATAATAAAATATTTAATCTTAGATAATATTAAATATCTAGCTTTAATATTAACTAATAGATAGTTAGCCTTTAATCATCCTTTATCAATTGTTTATCAATCGTAAGCTAGCTTAAAGAAGCTTTAGCTAAACCTTATAGTTAGTCTAGAAAATTTCTAAAGAAAATTCTAACCTTTCCTAAAGTATAATAAAATATTCGAAAAGTCTTTAATAATTTTCTATATCAATCATTTAAAAATCTTATCAAGATTTATGATAGTCTTATATAAATAGTATCAATTCTATCAAAAGATTATTATAATTTTTAATTAGTTAATATAAATGATTCTTCTTAAGCTTAAATTATCAATACTTTTAATATCTAATAATAAGATAATTTAAACTATATTATATTATAATCTTATTTATCTTATATTATTATCTAGTTGATAGAATATTAAAATATTAATAAAAGTTTGATTATATTGATAGCCTTTAGCTATTTAAGATAGATAATAGAAGATTATAGCTAACTTAGATAGTTTTACTAATATTTAAAGTTTTTAATATAATCAATAAAAATAGTTATTATCTAATACTTAAATAAAAAGATTTTTTTATTTAATATAGATTATTAATATAGATAAATAAATATTATTTAATTATTAAGTCTTGATTTAATTATTAATATATATATAAAAATAAAGAATTTTTATAAATCTTTAAGATTATAATTCTAATAAAAATGATAATATTAAAATAAAAAATATATAGTTTAAATTATTAAATAAAGCTAAATTTAAATTTAATATTTATCTAATATAAGATATCTATAATTATAAGGAAAAGAGCTATCTAACGATAATTATCTATAAAGATATTATAATTAAAGGAAACTATCTAACTATATAATATATAGCTTATAAAACTAAGTAAAATAAAACTAGTAGAAAAACTATATTATTATTGTCAGATGGTTAGAGACTTATACTATGGTTGCTACTGAAATATGTTGTAAGTCCTTGGGTAAAATATGCGAAGGTAATGTATTGAAGCTAAGCTGAAGAGAGTGTGATCTCTGTGGACTAATTATGGCTATATATGGTTGGTTCTGAATGATGACTAATCCACCCGCTAACAGCGCCGAGGAACGGCAAGTCGAGAAGGATTTGCCTTGACCGAAGGTGGGTGAAAGTTTGGAGACGGTTTCAGGTCTAGTCCCAACCCCTCGGCTGAACACCCCGCATTGTATTATGTAGTGGAGCTTGGAGACATGTACAATGCCTTTCGGAACGTCTCTCAGATCCCCTGACTTCCCTATGGCTCTTCCATGACGTCTCGGTGAGGGTATACAGCGTTAGATGGTCCTTTAGGAGGTGAGTAAAGGGTCAAAGTTTAGTTTCGCATCACCATAGCTTACAGCCCGGAACCTTATCTGCTATATATAACATAGAATTCGATACCATAAGAATTTATCCTATATTCTTATTATCAACTATCTCTTTAACTATCTCATCTTGCTCAGGTCATAATACTAAGCCACTCTCCATAATTAGCGCTAATCGATTACTCTAAATAGGATAGTAAACACCAATTCCGAGCCATAAATCCTTATTCTATAGGTGCCTCTAGTTAACGTAAAGCCAGTGTAACGGGTCACGCCCTGTCGGACAGTCCAAGCACTGTTGCTTGAGCGTCCACTTTGTCTATTTTGCTGGAGAATTAGCTGTCTTCGTTTTATTTCCTTCTTTCTTCATCTCGTTTGTAAAACGCATGAGGACTACATAGCTGTAATTTACACTATTAGCAACACTTCACAGGAACACACCGGTGTCGTCAGAGGTATTTGGTCAAGCGCTCCTTCTTACGCCCTCAACTAAGTTTTGGGCGCCTTCCATAAGACATTCCATCAGCACTAATAACATATATCCAATTCCATAAGCAGTAGAATTTTCAGGGAGTTCGTATGTATATTCTAGATATAAAGTCTTTAAAGGATTAGACTGTCGTATCAAGAAAATGGGTTTAGGATTTAGTATCCGATCCCTGCGTGGACGGACCGTCGGCGCCCGCTCAACGTCGAAAAAGGAAGCGATCCGGACAGTTTATTCCATGACAACCCCCTCCGTAGTACAGCCCTGCGGACACCCACCCTATGCACCGCCGACGCGATGTGAAAAGGCTGTGACGCGGCAAGCGGAAGCGAGACGGATACGAAGCCGCTGTTATGCCTCTGCTCAGGTCGGCCCATATTGCCCGGTCACATCGTCGGGAGCGGTGGCAACTCGGAGTCGAAGGGGCGTTTGTCACGCGACTTCCGCTGGGTCTCGCGGGTGACGGGTATGCGTAACTCGGCATAGTTCTGGAACGCAGCTGGGAATTGATCAGGCATGGCGCCGCTCAAGCAGTTGCCGAGGATCTGTGCATCTTGGATCGCCATGTTCGCGCCCTGGCCCTCGGTGGGCAGCATCGGATGTGCGGCATCGCCCAGGAGCGTGATGCGATTCTTGGTCCACACCGAGATCGGATCACGGTCGTACATGCCCAGGGCGAGTATCTCGTCTTGATCGAAGCGGCGCACGATCTCCTGCACGCGTGGCTCGAACCCGGCGAGCCGCCCGATGAGTTCATCCCGGGTGGTCGTGTTGCGCCACGATTCGGAGACCGCCTCCTTGGCGGGCAGGACGGCATCGAACGCAACGTACTCGCCGCCAGCATAGGGCAGGACGACGAACAGCGACAGAACACCGTCCGGGTTCATCAGCAGCCAGTTGCACGGCAGCTTCTCGGGCAGCAGGTCCTTGACCTTCTCGAAGGGCAGGGTGCCGCGATGTCCCTGCAGCCCGGAGAACACTGCATCGGTCTGCATGATGAGCGGGCGGATCTGCGAGTGGATACCATCGGCGCCGACAACTGCGCCAGCGGTCGCAGTGCTCCCGTCAGAGAAAGCGAGTTCCACGTGATCGCCCAGGTCGGTGACGCGGATACACTTGTGCGACAGGTGGATGCGCTCGCGCGGGATTTCGGAGCTCAGCAGGTTGTGCAAGTCGGCGCGGTGGATCATGTCGGACCAGTTCTCATCCGGATCATCAGTCTCGCTCGGGATGGCGATTTCACCCATCGGCGCGCCAGTGCGGCCGTCAAGCGAGAAGATGTTGCCGACCCGGCTGGTACAGGGGGTATAGCGATCCTTCAGGCCCCAGCTTTCGAGGATCTTCGCGGTTCGCGGACGCAGGCCGACGGCGGCTCCCAGTTCGCGCAGTTCCGACGCCTGTTCATAGACATCGACGTCGAATCCTTCTTGCTGCAGCCGTACGGCTGCAGCGAGACCCCCGATCCCGGCACCGACAACCGCGATGTTCTTGTATTGGGACGTAGTGGTCCTCTGCCTCAAGCTTTCCGGCACAGAATCGGGCTTGACTGGAGGGGCGATCTTGTTGATACTGCTCCAGTGTTCTGCAAGCTTTCCATCCTCGATACGAAAAGCGTCGAAGACATAGTAGTCGTAGGTCTCACCAGGGCGCTCGGCGTCGGGTTGAGGAAAGTAGGCCGAGATGACCACCATATCACCTTCCGCGATCATGAAGGTGGGAGGGTTACGCATCTCCGCAGGCTCCGGCACGGGACCATCGGGGAAGATCATGCGCACGAAGCCTTCTAGCCCAGCGCGACCCGGCGGCACATGGGTGCCGTGCTGGACGTAGTCCTTGGTCACGAAATCCTTGACTGCATCGGCGTTCTGTCCGTCGAATACCCGGCGGTAAAAATCTCTCACAAGTTGCTTGTTTCGCTCGAGTGCGGTTTGGTCAGTCATTTCCGTCCCGATACTGGCATCACGGTCCCTGGTGGCGGGATAGCCGAAAGGTCCGGATCCCACCGACGTCTCAAGCCGCTCCTCGATGTCGCCTCGATCCATTGTGCGCTTCTTGCCAGTCAATTGGCATAGAGATCAAACAGATGAATTATCGTACAAAACGCAGCGACTGAAATATATATTTCCTCTTTTTATGGGGTCAATCCCCGCAAGGATGAGTAGACAGCCAAATGTAGCGGGGAACTTCCCTATACTTCCCCGACCCGGATACTTCCCCGGAATGAACGGTCAGAAAACGTGGTACTTTCGCCGTATTGCGTTCCTGATAGTCCAGATCACAAGCAGCTGATCGTACTTTTGGGAGATTGTATTGCGTTCAGCACAACCTTCCCCAGATTCAATTCACAGTAAGGGCGCGATCAGCCTTATTTTACTATATCCGATTCTACCTTGTCACGGCGCGTGGCGGTTGCTGTCCTATTGGCAGCTGGAACACCTTGTTGATTGCTATAATTGCGATTAATGCCCAGTCTTTTGCCCCGTGGCGTAACGGTTAGAGGTGTGCTGTGACAGAGCTCTACTGCAAGCAAAACAAGATCTTCACCCTTTGTATGCTTTTTTTTTATTCATCTCACATCCTCAGACGCCACACAACCCGACAGAGGCGAGCTCACAGTCTGAACTCATCAAGAACCGAATATCTCGACACCAAGGGAGCTCTCCGACATCGATTCTGCATGCTGCCGATCAGCTTGCAAAGGGAGCCCAAGGAATCATGCATCGGATAGCCTTACTTAAGGCTGAGGTTCAGATCTTTCGACAAGAGATTGGGGTGGCCGCCAGCGTTGCCAACGTCTGCCTCGCAGACCTCCGGCCAACCCCTTGACCCGGCCAACGAGTCTCACTATATCATCATCGAAACAACCCGTATCCTGAACCTTGCCAGGACAGACGATCGTATCGCCATGTTTCGCCATCTCGGGGCGCTGATACAATGGCTCAAACCGTAATAAATACTCATTTAGGATCAGAAACGGCTGGTACATCCCATCTCCTCTCATCTCTTTCGTTTCATAACCCAACATCTTGTTCGTCGGTTCGGTTTATTAGCCAAGTCCTCTGAAGTCGTCTCCCTTCCGATGGACACTGCGCATCTTGAATCCTCCCGACGCAGCGTTTCTCTGTCCGTCAGCAGCGTCTCCCCATCGTCGCGACCGTCCCGCGCATTACCCCGTCGCATTCCTCGTTCATCAGCGACGGCCAGCGATCGCACCCCCTGAGCACCCTGAGCACCCTGAGCCCCTGTCCACCAGCGGCCGTCGGCGACCGTCAGCGACAGTCCCCCGTGCCTGTCATGGACATGACGTGCGGCCTCCGTCGTCCTCGTCCGCGGTCCGTTTCTCGTCCGTCGGCGATTCAGTGACCGCGTCTCCTGCACCCCCTGAGCCCCTATCCAGCAGCAACATCAGCGACAATCAGCAAGCCAGCGAAAGTCGCGCCAGACACTAAGGACCGACCAGCGCCTCTCGGGAGGTACACTCTATCTTTCCCCGTCGATCGTCCGCCCGTCTATTTCTCGTTTCTCGTCGCTCAGCAATTCAGCGGTCAGTGGCCGCCGCCGCCCTGATCATCGATCATCCATCCCCCTGCGCCGAGGGACAGTCGCATCGGGCGCCCGCTCGCTGATGGCCGGCCCTTGCCTGAGTTTGCAGCTTACGTTTGTCTGTCATGGGGATGGAGATGGGCCCGTGTCATCAGATCAGCGACCGTCGCCCATCATCCCCCGTCCTTCAGTGACCATCCGCTCAATCTTGTTCATCCATTCCGCACTGATGATGCCCTCATCATAGAGATGGCGTAGCACCTCGACCGCCCAGGTCTGGCAGTTCCGGGTGGCCGCCGCCGCGCGTCCGGGGCAGACGACGGGGCGGGGACGGCGTAAGCCCAGTACGCAACGCGAGCGGGGCCTTTGCCTTTGCCATCGTCATCGCCGCCGTCGCCGTCGTCGTCGTCGTCGAGCTCGCACAGCTGGTAGCACGCGTGGAAGGACGCCGAGTGCATGACGCTGACGCCGGCCGCATGCGTGTGGCGCATGCATGCGCTGTCGCCCTTGACCTGGTACACGGCACCAGGCTGGTTTCTCGCGCGCCACGAAGAGCGACCAGTGCTTCGGCCCGCCGGCGGCCTGCGCCTGCAGGACGAGATAGAGGAAGGTGGGGTCGCTGCCGCCGTTCTGCTGTTCTTCTCGTCCTCCGCCGGGTCCGGGTTCAGGTCCGGGTCCGGGGTCGCCCGACGCTTCTGTCCACTCGGTCCACCCGCCGTTGAGCTCCCTCTTGCGTACAATTGTCCTGCCGTCCGGGTACTCTCGATACTGCCTGATTCCCACTGTGTACCGCCTAGAAGGCTGCTGATCAGATATTCCGTGTGTGTAGGCAAGTCTCTCAGTAGGTGGCAAAGTCCCGTAAGGAGTGGCTGGAACGAGGGTGATGCTTAGGGGGTGATGCTGAGGTGGGAATGCTGTTCTGCGATATGGTATGGCACTAGGGTATCAGCTGGCACCCTGTCTTGAATTTTACGGGCAATGGGGTGTAAGAGGTTCAGATGATCAACAATCTAGCCAATGGATGGGACGGTGATGGCACCTTGAAGATGCGTTGATTGCCGATTTTTTTAAGCTACAATTCAACACTCTTGATCTTGATACTGAAATTGTCCACTCAGGTGTATTTGATGGCTAGGACGTTCTATTCAGCCCTAGATTCACAGCCTCTACTGAAGGGCCGATGCTATCATATACGAACTGAATTGAATGGGGCCAGGACCAAAGCAAGCGCTGAAGATCTCCAAAATACGGTACACCAAGTTGGCAGAGAAGTAGAGGATTTGACCGCCGTCATATATATATACATGGAAATACTGCCGGCTTTGCTATGTGAGTATTTGACATAGCGCTTTGTCAAGGGCGAAGCAAGAGAAACAGCGCCTATATAGTGAACGATTGATGCTGCTTGTAGTTTTAGTCAAGCTGGTTTGTCTGATCTCTAGAGTGATACAGTCTGCTAACGTAGACGTTAACTAATTAGTTTGCAAAAAGGGTTACGAAATTACCAGTAATTAGTCGAGGCAATCAGGATATTCAGGATATAAGTCTCAATTAGTGTCAGTGATAGCAATTGTGGCTAGTGACTGCGTGTCGAGCGATACAGATGTTTTTTTTTTCCCTGAGAAATCAAAAGGCATGGATGAGTCAAATAAAGAGTGCTTGATAATCACCTGTCCATCAGGGCACCTTGCGGAGGAACAAGCATTTGACAATGCGATGACAGCGGAACACAAATCTTTACCATTAGATAGTTACTATCACAGTGATTTTCCATGAATGGGAAAACGAGGCTGACAGAAATCTGCCGAACCGTGAGTCTGGAAATCATAGCAGAGGGGAAAAGGGGTGTAGAGGCTATTCAAAGTGGCAATCATTATCTAACAGACTAATAACGTTGTCTCTGTTCTCTGATTGCATGACTAACTACCTACGCTCGACAGTCTCCATCAAGTAGTGAAGCAGCAAAACCGGAAGACATGATCCTCATGATCGAAGGATGGGGAAAAGAACTACCCTGGCATACCTAAACCCCAAACTCAACCCAAACGCCAGCGATGCTCACATCTGAGACGAAACACTAGGAAAGTCGAAAGCAAAGGCCAACACCCCAGACCTAGAATAAGACCTTCCTTGCCTTGACGATGCCTGAGATGTCCCACTGCCACTGGGCGGGCTTCGTGTCGTCCATCCAGCGCATCCAGTCTTTGTCCCGGGACGGCTTCATGATATTCGCATACTCCCAGTAGTCCGGAAACCAGCCCGCGTTCTCCCAGTCGAGGATTCCCGTGATGCAACCTGAGGACTTGTCGACGATGATGTTCCTGGGCGTCAGATCGCCGTGCGTGAATACAGAGACGCCGTCGGAGCGGGGGAGCATCGCGGGGAGGGTGTGCTCGTAGAGGCGGCCCCAGTAATGGTGGTATCGCTCATAGATCCTGGCGCGCAGCCCGTCGTCGTCCGGGATGGGCCGCGGGGGCGACTGCAGATCGCGGAGTAGAACGTCGCTACAGGCGATGGAGCCGTCGGCGCCACACTGGAAGAGATGGGCAAAGTCGTGGGGCTTTGGGATGGTGCGGAGCTGCTCAACGATATGCCAGATATCGGCGCAGACACGCGCCTTGTGCTGCTCGTCGTATGCCGGCCAGGCACTTTCCAGAGTGACACCAGGAGCCTTCTCCATAGAGAGGTAGCCCACCTCCTCGCCGTTAATGATCCGGAATGACACGTGGAACAGGCCCGGCACGGGGACTCTCGTATGCTGCTTGACGAGGCTCATAGCGGAGGCTTCACTTCTGGTGACGCGAGTTCCTCTCTTGGTAATCACCCCGGGACCTATCTGGGTAACAACTGCTCCGCATTGCCGGGAGAGGATAACTGGGAAATCCCCTTCTTCATCTGTCCAAGCATCATCATCAGCATCAGCATCAGCATCAGCATCAGCATCAGCATAAGCGGGCGCAAAGTAACTCCAGAAAGAAAGGGCGAGTGAACGCGCGCGATTCGTTCGAGAGTTGGGAGACTGGGGATCTGTGATAGGGATAGGGATAGAATCTTTGTTTGTTTCTGGGCCACAAACCGGAAAAGGGCGAGGATGACACCTCGGGTTCAGTATCACCAGCACCAGCATCAGCATTAGCGTGGGGAGCTAGGGTGGTAGAAGAATCCATCACTGTTCCTAATAATGTGGCGGCAGGCGCACACACAGCTTGAGCGGTGATTTTATCCTGATGATTGCCGGTGGATGCGAAAAGGAGGAGAAGAAGAGAAAAGAATCACTTCCGACAGATGGTCAAAGGATGACGAAAGTGGTGTCCAACTTGGAGCATGCAGGTGGAAAACGCAAATTGTTTGTAGGGGAAGGGAAAGTTGGGCTTTTTGTGCTGTGACTCAGGTAACTGACGTGTACTGTGCTTTGTTTCGTGGATGTGGATGGTGAGGGGGGAGAAACGGCCCGGCGCGTCACGGCACAGCACGTGGGTAAGGTAAGGCGGGTAAGGTAAGGTGGGTAAGGTAAGTAAAGCTCAGTGATGAGACAGACATACATGTACATGTACAGGTACCTGGAGGAGGTCATGTCGGTAACATTAAGTTGTAGCTGCGCCGTGTAGGTGCGAGGCACGTCTGCCTGCCCGCCTGCTCACTCATACTCCTCAACTTCTTGCACTCTGCCTCCAACATTGTGTTGTTGTCGTCATCGTCGTGTGAAGTAAGAGAGAACAAGAGTGTCTTCTTTTTTCACTGTACCCTGCTGCACCAACAACGCCATAGAATCTTGACAATGATCTTTTATGGTGGCCTATCATCCGTACACCTGCTGGCGTATCTGTCGGCTTGACTTGACTCAGCTTGGCTTAAGACCAAGACCAGGATCCTAGTTGTCTGTGACATTACGGAAGAAAGACCCTTAAATAACAATAGCCTTCATCAAAACACCTCTTTTTGGAGGCTGATGTCTTGCGACCACCTTGACTCAGGTCACTTTGACACCCACACCATGACCGGCACAGCTTCCATATTTATATTTACATCCAAATCTATCTCTATCTTCGACTCTGCCTATATATATATGATACCTACTTATATCCAAACATTCAATATGTAAGGAATCTCCTTGAACGTGTCCCTAGGAATATCTAACTTGTTTATCAACGTACCCTGGCTGTTGCAAGTGTAGGAGTAGATTAGTGTTTACTGCCTCGATAATACTTCCAGCATGAGTCTCAGTTTGTAAAAGAAAATAAGGAGAAGTGCCTTGGAGGCGGTCGGCAGTGCCCTTCGAGACAAAATGCCTGCCGCAACATAGACGCTTCACTTTCCTCAACCTACTCTCAATCACCATCTATCTCCATCTTGGAACGGAGACATGCAAAACTAGCCAGTGGCTTACCATGCGAAGCTTGGTTCCTAAGGTCATATGTAGATTACATTCAGCAGTTTACTTTAGGCCGCCCTTGTCAGATCACATCCCTTCCATCAAAGGCCTTTCACTTCACTTCGCCCCGGAAAAGGTGATACCTCCACCAGTTCCTTTGATTTTGGGCTGGTCTTCGCAGACCTGTCAGCGAGCGTAGAGTTGTCGATTCTTTTAGACAGAGTGGAAAGCCCTAAGGTTAGGAATAGAAGTGCTGCGGCCCGAGCCGCTCACTGAACCCCAGCTTCATCAAGGGCGGAGACATTGGTGTTTTGAGCAACTGACTAGGACCAGGAAATCCAGACGCAATATTGGAGGCGAGGAATCCACTACTATAAAAAGTCCACCCAGTTTTGGAGCCTGGTATATCAATCTTAAGTATTTCTCTTCTTTTCCTATATTGTCCGCCTCTTGCTTCTGGTGACGTACTTGGCAAAGTGGCAAGTCCTTGATTCAATCCAGAACCAAGCAAGCAGAGCCCAAATATAGTACAATGTAGAACAACCAAAGGCTACTCCTCCCAGGCAAACCAATAGATGTATTATATACATCGAAAGTAAGCTCGCGTATACTTTAACTATACAGACAGAACCTGTTGAGAGTGAAATGACGGCTGGTCGATACGCATAACGCGTTTGCTAGTTGTTCTGTTGGCTTGGTTAGAACCATGTTTGCGTTCTTGAGACGAGCAAATAATTTGCCACTACCATTACTTGACGAGACCGGTTAACGACCTCTTGAGGATAGAGTGATATCTAACACTTTGCAAGCTACCGTGAAAGAAACTTCCGGACCACCTTTTTTGAACATATCCGGCAAAGTCTTACTATGCGTTAGAAGTTGCTGTACTGCGAGTCATCAGTACAGATGCCGTAGGGTCCTTTGTATGACAACTTTTGGGGCAGCTAATTGTACCAACCCCAGCATCCGTGGCAAGGATGTCTGGCGGAAGGGGCCTTGACTCCAATTCAGGTACGATATCGCTACAGCCAAGCCCAACTTGTTCTTCGACAACATGGTTGAGATTCAACAAGATGAAGAAGTTCTGTGAGCCATATACCTACCGTACTTGCAGGCTCCTCTCATACCAATCGAAGATTGAGTGTGATCTTGAGCAAGACACGGTGTTAGCTGGGGAGTCATGGCTGGTTGGACCCATGGCTTCAGTTTAGAGTCATACCCACACGAGGACGCTCGTGATGATCGATAACATGGTACGATGTTATTCCACGATCCTTCTGCTGCCATTCATTCTTAGCTCAAGCTTGTCTGTCCTGAGAAATCCGTATCGAGTCGTGCCGCTGCGTGCTTCATCTGTCCTGTGCTATAACTACTCAATCAGTAGCAAATCAAGCTGTAGTCCTGCGTGTGCCCTACTGTATTTATTATCAGTTTCTCTTGACGGGTTAATGGGTCTATGATATTTCGAGCATGGCTAGCTCCTGGACGGATCGGAGAAGCGAGGTAATCTAGCCCGCTTGTCCAAGTTGCAAGGGCCCACGGACGACGATCCGCTGCTCTCATACATCTTTGCTTTGGTTTTGGTTGGGGATTGGTTGTTTGTGTCGTCTTGGCTCGTTGCTCATCCTCCAATGATCGCGGCTATATTCAGAACGATCTTGATTTCAGCTTTTTCCGTCACAAGGGACCGGACCTTCCCACAGAGTGAGCAAATTTACAAGCGGCGTTGATACGTGAGGTAGATCTCTCCTGTTTCCCCAGAATACTCTCTATTTTTGAGTCCATTTCAGAGAGAAGTGCCGGCCGGGGAGAAGCCCCATCATTGCGTATAGAAAGTGGACATTCTCGCGGGTATACCTCGGTGATGAGTTGGATTAGATTGGGATTGCAAGCTCAAGGTCACAGGCCTAGGTGGACCATATTCGTTAAAGGGGGAGTCCACAGTCTCCCACAATGTGAGCCGCACCGTTGTTGCTGCGTCTGACCGCGGTGGAACTGCTACATGTTGGCTTAGGGGTCCTGGGTAAGGATGGCTGCGTGAGTAGGCATTTATCGGTGAGAGTAACCCTTGAGTTGAAGAGGAGGAGGAGGAGAAGGCAATTCCCCATGGCGCGCAAAGAGGCATGTTCTAGACAATGAACAGAGTGCTTACTAGATGAGGCGGGATTGAGTAATTAATTTTCTATCTTTGCAGACAGATAGGCTCCTTGCCACAGCTCCTGCCTGCCTCTTCCTTTGCCTGTTTATGACGGGTATGGGAGATGTGATACTGCTTGTAGACATATGACAATAATGACAATGCGATGGATACTCGGGTACTCCATATTTGGTACTCGAGACTCGAGACTCGAGATAATGATCACTCGATGATTGATACTCGGTACTCGGTACTCGGTACTCGAGATTCGAGATTCGAAAAAAGTAGCGACAATACAGTGCCGCATCCCGCGAACATTGATGTAGGTCACGGGGTCAGCCACAGGGTTCTCGTCGACGACGAGGCACAGGCGCGTCTTGAGTCGTCTTTTGTCATCGGGCGCGGTGACTCCACCAACGCTGCTCCTTTCATTTATCTCACAACAAACCCCAACCCGGGCTCCAACCACGACGAGACCCGACGACGACGACCTGACGACGACCCGGTAAAGAGCAACAGGCAAGAAGGAGACGATATCATCAATAAGGACAATGGAGGCTTTGGACTTGGACTTGGACATGGACTCGGACTCGGACTCGAACTTGGCCGCTGCTCCCACTCCCACTCCCACCATTTTTGATGCTACTCGAGAAGACGACGACAAAGACATTCTCACCACCACCGTCGCATGCCCCAGCCTCTCCAGCAACCCTCACGCTCATCCTCACCCGCACAGCGACAGCATCGACGACCGAAGCCCGAAAGATTTGCGGCGCTTCTATCTGACTGCTCCTCGATCTGCTTCTCGCCTTGGCCAAGGTAAGTGGACTGCATCTGTGCTGCTGTTTTCACACCGTTTCCGTGCTCCTCACATCTTCACATCCTCAGGTACTCCTCACCGTCTGTCTTCTTCTCCTGGCTTGAAATCAATCGCTTCGCGTCGCATTGCGCGTGACCGACGCAGGTACCCAAAGCACGACACAACACACACTCATTTCTCATCCCAAGCCCTATCTCATCTCCTCCCTGCGCCCGTGTTTTCCGAGACTGAAGCTGTGACTGAATATCACCAACCGTTGACTGACTACCTTCTTTCTCGCCCTCAACAGACTCCTCATTGCTCAGCCAGCAACCGGTTTTGGGCCGCAACTCTCTCGCGCCCGAGCTCCCACGTTGCTTTGCGCCAGACGGTAATAATGCATCCTGTCCCCGCCCCGCCTCCCATGTGATGATCCTCAGCTCAAGATGGAGCCCAGTGCCAGTGCCTCCATTTACCATGCCCTACCCACTGGCCACCATCGTCCACGGTGGCATGGCATGGCATGGCACGACATGTCAACCACGATACAGAGCATGAGTAGAGATGGAAAGACGACACCTCACTAACCAGTGCATTCTCAACAGGCCCAGGACCTACCGCTCCACAAGCACCTCCACCTCCATACTCCAACCCCAACCCCAACCCAGAGGCCGGCATCATGGCAGATCGCAAGAGCGCCGGCGACGGCCACTCCAACCGCGGCCCCGGCACCGGCACCGGTCCCGGCAACGGCAGCATCCGCACCCCCTATGACTACGAGATGTCGCCGCTGCACCTCAACGGTGCCCACAACGACCGCCGCAATGGCCCCGCCGGCAGCTCCGTCGTGCTGGCCGTCTCGAATGAGCACTGGGTGCGCTGCCTGTGCGTCTTCCTCGTGGTAGTCCTGGTCGTCGCCGTCTTCGGCGCCCTGTGGCTGGCCATCTGGCGCAACGAGCGCCTGGTAGTCGATGGTCTTCTTGGTGGCTCGCGCGGCGCCGGCGGTGCTGTGTAGACCCGCTGCTGCTACTACTACTACTACTACTACTACGGCAACATAGCGTCATCGGATGGATGGATTGATTGATTGGTTGGTTGGTTGGTTGGTTGGTTGGTTGATTAGCTCTGTCGGCGGTAGGGATTGGAGGGTGTCGATGTATGGATGGCAGAGGGGGGACAGATCGCTGGGCGCTTTGCTCGGGCTGGTTCCCGTTGTTGGAAGGGTGGTATGAACCGTATGATGGATACGCAAGCTGTCTTTGTCTCTTCCTCCGTCGCTTGTCAAAGCCAAGCCGTTGTCATTCCGACGAAGCGCATTCTCTCGAACGAAAAAGTCTCTAGGCAGGCCATACAGTATCCAGAACCCACCTGGTCAGAATCGATGTCTTCTCTGACCTGATGAATATGCTTGGTGTTGCTTGATGCATGAATGAATTCAAATGGTCGACTCGCAAGCACGCGAAAGAAAGACGCCTCAGATCCTGCCAACTCGCCAAACGTCTGCCCTTGCTTCACTGTTACACGTGTCTTGGTTTACTCTCACCTGCACTAGTTTGAGCTATCACCCCATCATCAAGATATAATAGCCCTTGTCTCTTTTGTTTGGATGTACTCAACACTCGGACTCGGACTCGTGGTGATTCGAGCAACTCGAGAGGGCTGAGTCAACTTTTGAAAGCCTAACCTCCTCTCCGGATCTGTTTTGACATCGATATCTATCAATTATGAGGAAGCTTCATCAGACCATAAAAGGCCTGCAGTTGCGGCCGTGTAATCGTCTGGAGCTCCATGCCTCTCACTCTACCCGTCGACAGGCGCTCTCCTGCACGCTTGTGACCGAGACTCGGCCATTTCACGTTCCTCGGACACTACTGACTCTCCCACGGAAGCAGCCTACCTTGGAGGTCACATAACAAGCCTCGCCCCCTTGGTTGTCTGTACTTGGTTAACATGATCAATGTCTACAGGCGACATCGGACGGTATCGAGGCGTTTCAACTGCATCCAGGCTCGGATACGCTCAAGGCATATCGATTGCAAGCCCGCCACCTGAACCTCATGCACCAAGATGACGTCTGCTTCCTCAAACTTCCTGGCCGATATGACAGCAGTAGCGACAGCCTTGAGAGTTATCTGATCCCTCTTTTTCAAGATACCGCCACTGGCTGGCACTACTCCCCCAAAACGCGAAGAATCAATGCAGGCCCTCCCGTGGTGAACTAGCCAGTGTGTGGGACGAGTCCTGACTGGGTCTTTCGCCTCGTCGAAATGAGCAAGCGCCGTGATGATGGACTTTTTCGAAAGCTTGATCTGGGCAGTCCTCACCCCAACGACAACAGGGAGAACAAGGAAACAGACACAGGTGGATCGACTGGATCGACGACTACGATGCAATCCTTGGAAGACCGCCCTATCCCCGAATTGTGTGCTCCTCTCGGGGCATTGGTATTGGCATCTCCAGCCTCGTCACCCCATCCCCTCCCAAATAGACCCCAGAGCTGCGAAGATTGTTTTGAAGTAACCCCCCATGCAACTGGGTATATCCTTGCTGTGGATATGCTGGATGAGGATCTCTCCCTATGGATTCTCCGCGGAGACCTCGACACTATCAGGGACAGCATAGGCAAGTCCACGCCGGCAGATGTGGACTGGAATGATTGGAGCGAGGTGGCAGAGCCATACTTCAACACAATCGACCCGGCAAACCTCTTCGATGGGCAGCTTCTCACCCCCAATCCAGACAGTCCATCGGTGTACGGCGTAGCCTGTATCATGTCTTCCTTCCGCAACATGGGACAGGATGGAGCGGACTATGGGCGTGCTGTCGACCTCGCCAAGCGGGCTCGACACCCGCTACGCCCGGGACTGGATTGGATCGACGGCGATGAGCTCCGCGGTAGAGTGTGTGAGGCTGAGCTATAGACTGCTGAGGTACTAATTGTCAAGGCCGCTTTTGGCTTTTGAGCACCAGGCCTTGGTATAGACACTGAGTAGCGATACAAACAGACCTGCACCCGAATACAGTAATGTCCAGGATCAGCGTCCACTACTAGTATTGAGAACTCCCCTAATTGGCTCAAAGATAAGGCTGCAGGGGCATACATAAGCTTCCATTACGCAGACATTACCCATTAGACTGGCTACAGTCCTAATCGCTCGCCTATAGGATCATCTAAGAAAAAGGACATGATCTTTTGCGTTGTACAAGACGCGGGGCTGGGGATGTCATATGCCTATAGGGTCTTGGGAGGGTCTCACATTTCGATTTGCAAGCCATGGTAAAGAGTAGGTGGACGGGATCAGAGATTAAAAAGCGTATTACCTCTTCATGGAAGACATTATAAGACAATTTAGGCGTTTTGGGGGTTCCTCAACGCAGTGACCATGGTCACCAGTGATCCTCTGTACTACCCTCTTATATCCCCATTGACACTGGTAGACCAGCCGTGGTTCTCCTTACAATGATTCCTGGAGCTTCTGAGAACTGTAGCTTCCGCCTATTTGGCCTTCTCCTTCAGCACCTGAGCAATGCCAGCCTCGGCACGCCTTGTTGCCTCCTCAGCACGCCTCTCTGCCTCCTCAATACGTCTCTCTGCCTGTCTCTCTGCCTCCTTAATACGTCTCTCTGCCTCCTCAGTAACCTGTTCTGCCTCATCAGCACATCTCTTGGCCGCCCTCTTTGACTCCTCAGCAATCTGTCGTACCTTCTCGGCACGTCTCTCTGCCTCGGCAAGCTGTCGCTGCAGCCGCTGTTCCGCTCGCAGTCGGATGCGGTGATCGCGCTCTTGGTCATGCTGCACTTTGCGTTTCTGCAAGTCACGCTGCTGCTGTTGATACTGCAAGCCTTCTTCTTCTCGCTTCGAAGCAAGGGTCCTTCGGCGTAGCTGTTGACGTTTGAACCAGACTCGAGTGGCTATCATGATGAGGATCTTGCTGTCGATCTCGAAATCTTGCTCTTTTGGGCCTTGTTTGGGGCGTAGGAAAATATCCTGGAATTTGACGAGCAATGGGACGCCTGAGTAGTTCCATAATGAAGGGTCATAGGCGGTTGTGTTGCGAGGACGATTACCGGAGGTCTTGAGGTGGGCTGTTGCTTTCTGCGGATGTCTCGCTCCACGGGACCAGAGTTCTAGATCGACAGTGCCTAAGTGGTCTTTGGTGATGTTGATCAGCAGAACAGCTTTGACATCTCCTCGTTCGTGATCGGGAGCCGAATTATCGAACCACTAGTCCTTGGCTTCTCGGGCACATTGAAGAGATTGAGAGTAGGCAACTTCAATAACGAAGGTTGGGAAATCGCCACCTTTGAAGCGGTGTAGAGTTGGTGAGAAACCGTCGTCAGGTTCTTTGGCGGCGCCGGTGTCTGTGATCGAGTCGTAACGAGCTGATCCGATCGGAACAATCTCGTCTAGCAAATCCATGTGAGTTGCCTGACCGAGCATGTAGCCAATTGCAGTGCCTTTGGCCATCTCGTGTACATCACTGGGCATCTTGACAAGGAGGATGCCACTGTCCGCACCCAAGTATGTCACACGGCTGTTGCGATCGTCAAGCTCGAGGTTGTTGTAGAAATTCTCGAAAACTTGTGGACGGACACCGGAAAATCTGAGATAAGTGCCCTCGTCATCAGGGCCACGTGATTTGACTTGCTGAAGAATTATGCCCAAGGCAACACTCGCCGATACTGTCGCGAGGTCAAAATCTGCTGGTGATTACCGGATTAGGACGGTAACGACACAAGCTGCCAGATAACGGGGCCACTAACCTTGGCCGTCCTGAGCCTGTGAAAGCCTCCGGCCCTGGACCCCGGGCTGCATCTCATCATTGACATTAGCATCAGCCATGATGACGATGGCAGGATTTTGTGATGCTTCAATATGTTGTGTGTGAGATTCGTGATGGTTTGTGAAAGGAAAAGGACGTGCTGAGTCTTTTCGTTGGCGGCGCTTGTTATCCATGGTGCTGAGGTCCGAGCGCTGTCGGACCGGAAAATCTTTGATCATATCCTCCTGTCTGACCAAGGTCTGTCTGTCTGCCTTTGCCATGTGATACATGGTCTGGAAAGATCTAAGTGGAGATGAGGAACAAGTCAAGATAGCTTTGATTGCAACGACTATTACATGTATAGCATACCACAAAGACAATACAGTACAGCGCTGGACAATTGTGACATCTGCAAGATCGGTTGATAGGTGGTGTACTGAAAGGCTGTTAGAGGATGTGAAGCCAGCTTTGGCTGCCGCAAGATGCTACTGGTGATCCTTAGCACTAGTACATGTACATACCCATTGCTGACCCGCGTGCTGTCTACGTGCTGCACTGACACAAATAATCAAGGAAATTCTTTCAACAGAGAAAGTGGACAGTGAGCCTGCACACTACTGTACACGCATAATTGATGAATATCATGTTTTCAGGATTGAAGCCTCAAGACCATCGTCACAATCGTTTTCGCACAATTTCCGGACTTTCTAACTGGTTCAAGATGTCTACGTTGCCCTTCCCCTTTAGGCAGGGTAAGACTCTTCTTGGCCAATAGCCACTGAATCATGCAAGCCTGCCATGGGCCGCAGATCCGGCGGCGGACAGCTTGCAGAACCAAATCAACACCATTCTCAACAAAGACCATTCGCCTGCAATCCAGTACTCTTGCGAACAAACGACTGTCAAAGTCTCCATCGAGCGAACCCATGGACGTGGTCTGAGTAAAAAATACAAGAAGATGGACGTGGAATGGCTGCAGATAGACAGTCATCTGGAAGGGCTTGCTATCTTGTTTAGCCAGGGTAAGAAGATCATCGTAAGCGTTGATTTCATTTGCAAAGAAGTCGCTAGTGATACTGCCTCCATAGCTGCAAAAGGAAAGAACAAGAGGAAGAGTGCTAGTGAAAATCAGAGGGCTTGGAGGGCCGCTAAGGCTGGCCTATAGGCCCGAGTCTACGAGTATAGGCGTTGTAAGGCCAAAAACTGCAAGCAAGGCCCTCACTGCATGATTGATGAAACAGACAATCACATCAGCATGCTTTCGGGGCACCTAGAAGCCAAGGTCAGACATCATAGAAACAATATAAAGGATGGAGAGACTAAGGACAACGTCAATATGGATATTGAGATCCTACCCAAGATCGCCAAAGATATGCTGGCTTACAGCCGTAAGCGGAAGGCGGAGAGCCCTTCCAGCGGTCGGCCCTATAAAACGTATGTCTCGGCGCATCAGGGTCACTACCGTGCGGCTGAGATGGCCTATCCTGGGGATCCTAGCGTGTGCGGTGATAGGTTGGAGAAGCTTGAAGAGTACTGCAATTGGGGCATGACGTAAGTGAAAAACGACAGGTGGAGAGAGGCCTTGGAGGTTGCAAATAAATATGCGATGGAGAGCATCTGATTGAATTGAACTCTGCTTTACACTAGAGGTCCATCTGGCATTGCAGATCAGCAGCCGATCCTGGCGCTTAGTAAGGTACCTTGTATAGGCTATACCTAGGTAGGCTATTGGCGGGGGCTGGTACATGCACAGCGGAACGGGCCGAAAGACAAGGATTCCGTGGCGGGGTTGGGGTTAGCGCTTGGTTAGACCTAGACACGCTAGAGTAGTGAGTTGAGGCTGAATGGCCCAAACAACCACAACCACAACCACAATCTAACAACATCAAAAGACCTTCAATGTGCGCTGTGATGAGGGGCCAGGTGGAGACTGAGGCAGCTGTAGGAGTGAACGAATGGCCTGTAAGTCACAGAATATAATTGACACCCTGAGAGGGGGGCAAGTGCACAGGCTAGATCAGATCTCGCACTGCACTGCACTGCCTGCACTGCCCACAAGCGCCATCCATGTTCCATGCTGAGTGACGTCATCACGTGAGCTGGATGGATATGTCGTTCTCTTTCTCTACTTCACTAACCGTAACTTCTCTCTTCTTCTGTCCTCTCATCCTCTTCCCTCATCTTTTCTTGGTTCCCCCCTCTTTGCGTTGCCCAAACCACCACATCGCATCGCGTCACAACACAAGACATCACACCGCAGCACATTATCAACAAACTGTTGCATCCCAGCCAGCCTGCAAACATGGAGCACTCTGCTTCTTGGCTGCTGTCCGCGGCCATGCAGGAGGAGGGCGAGAACTCCGGGCTGCTCCTCAAAGACACGAGGAGCAAGCATGAATATCACAAAGATGACGGCCACGTTGCCCCTCTGAGGCCTCCCTGTACTCCTTTCGAGAACGTGGGCATCTGGCCTAGTCTTCCCAAATACCGTGTCGACCTGATGTCAGCCGACTTGTGCTACTACAACATCAGCCTTGCTCAGTTCCACGATGCCGAGTTCCAGCAGAAACTGGCAGACAAGCGGTAAGCCTCCCGGCCATCCCATCCCCACCCCCACCGTCTCTCTCTTTCTACCCAGAACATGATTTCCTACCTTCACCTGGCCTTGTCTACTGCTCCCCTTCTTCCCCATGGTGCAGCCGTCCTCGTCCTTGTCCTCGACCGCCGCCTCGGATTCTGTTTGCCCTGTTCCTGCCTCTCCATCCCTCGCACATACATGCGCAAAACGCACCTATCCCCACAATGTCGCCGTTGCTGACCCGTTTTGATTTCGCGCCGCTATAGCTACGAGTACGACCCCGCCACCAAGACTCTCACCCTCAAGATGCCCGGCAGGGTCCACGAGGAGGGCGTCCGCGCCATCACCGCCCTGCTGGACGCCGCCCTGCGCGACAAGCACGCCCAGCTCTTGCAGACCGCCGCCGTCGGGCAGGAAGATCACAACCACGATGATAACGACGACCACCACATCGGCGTCAGCTTCCTCGCCGGCGTTCGCCCCAGCGGCAGCCCGGACGTGCACCTCGAGGGCGGCGCCGCCAAGGTGCCGGACCAGAGCTTCGCGGACGGGTGCGCAGTGCAGCCGAGCGTAGCGGTGCTGGTGGCGGCGACGCAGACGTGGGCGGGCGCGCTGGCCGAGGCCGAGCGCTACGTCCTGGGCACCAACGGCCTGGTGCGCGCCGTCGTCGTCGTCAAGCTGGAGCCGGTAGCCCGCGACAAGAACACGCTGCTGCCCGGGGCCGAGGCCCGCGTGGCGCTGGTGCGGGCCCGGATCGAGGGTGGATGTTTTGCGGCTGTGGTTGATTTTGATGTGGTGAGTTCGGCTTGGCCTGGTCTGGCATGTTCTGTTCTGTCTGTTCTGCTGCTGCTGCTGCCCTGCTCGATCTGCCTTCGGTTCTAGAAGTTGACCTCCATTCATACTCGCAGGCCCTTCCAAACGACGACCAGACCGACCCGTCTTCTTCTCTTTCTTCCGACGACGACAACGATGACAAGGAGAACAGCCACCCCCCCGCGCTGACGCTCGACCTCGCCGACTTCGCCAACCCGGACAACCACGCGCGCATCGCCGCCCTGGGCGAGACCATCACCATCCCCGTCTCCGCCCTCCACGACGCCCTTGTCCGCGACCTCGAGGCCGTCTGCCGCAGCCCCCGCGACTTCGCCATCCCCGCGCTGCCGCCCGGCGTCGTCAAGAAGGAAGGTTTGGTGCTGGAGACGTGCGATTCCGAGACCGAGGCCGGGGTCATCGGCCAGGCCGAGTAGAAGGCGGCTGCGAGGGAACCGGATGAGGATGATGGCGATGATGACGAGACGGCGGATTGCAAGGAGGGGGCGTACCGTGGCAGGAAGCCCTGCGGCGTGGTGACGGAGCCTCGTCGCTCTGGTCGCTCGCAGGTTGGCAGCTCGATTTCTCATGTCTGACTTGCTATCTGCGATTGGAAAAGGGTGTTGGCCGACAAAAGACTCGATATCCTGATTGATCGAAGCCATTCGTGGCCTGTTTGTTTGCGTATGAGCTGTTTCCCGCGATCGAGGTTCCTCATGGTTTCGCTCTGCCGCCTCGACAATCTTCCGAAGCAGCTGAACCGGCTATTTGCTCAGGCTTCTCTTTTTATCGTACAAATCTGTAGTAAGTCTACTCCCTTGTCTCCTCTCTATGCTCTCTCCGATGCAGCAACACTTACAACGCGACGTCAGATCGAACCAATCCCACAACGCTGGCCGATGGACGAGTGAAGAGGCACGCCTCCCGCTGGCCACTAACTGCAATCCAATGCAATCGAGGGTGGATTCACCGTCTCCAGACACTGGCTCTTCCTTGAACGGCCTCAGCTCGACTCGGGTTCATTTCAAGCATGGAAGACTGTTCGAGGGACGATAGGAACAGCGGACTTTGTAATGCGGGATAAGGGATCGAGGACATACATCGGAACGCTGTCAGACTTGGCATATGTAATTACATGAAGGGAATTGTGACGAGTGTCCACGTGGAATCGATGGGAGGCATGCAAGGTCACTGTGACTTCATCTCTGTCTCTGTCTCTGTGCTTGATCATGTCCAATGTCCTTCTCGTGTCAAATACAGCTTGACGTTGTGTCCGAAGGATCATCAGGATCACGATGCCATGCATGCTGGAAGCGAGCTGAAACTTGCCCAGGCTTACTGATCTCCCCATGCTGCTCGGGGACCAGCCACAACCCACCGAGTTCGGGTCGCATCCGCCGACTCAGAAGCATCCCATCCACTCAGTTGAGCCTCAACTCGCTAAGTAAGCAGCCACATGCCCATCTCAACCGCAGCCCGCAACCGGCCTCCTGAAATTCCCAATCCTGGCTGGCATCTTGTGTGGGAGCCAGTCAGCCGCTTCTCGCCCCGTGTGATGCTAAAATGCCATGGATGTCGTGACGCATAATGCAGAATACATTCGGAACCTGGGAGGGTCACTGCGATTGATGGCCCGATGCCCACGGCTTGCTTCGAGGCCCTCCGATGATAGCTAGTCAGTCAGCGTGGCCAGATGCTGGGGCAGCCAGGTATGTGGTCTTGTTGTACCACGTAGGCGGAACCTGCGGGCAAGTGTTAGGTGATCGGCCTCTGTTCAGACAATGAGATGTTCCATCCGGCCGGGTTTCGGGGTTGGGGATGGTGAGGACGGAGCTGGGGCAGACGTTGGAGGGGAGGATAGCAAGCCATCATGCGGGGATATCGAAGGGGGTTGGCATTGGCGACGACGACTGGGTGCTACCTTCTCCTCGTATAAGTGAGTTGAGTGTGACGGTGTATCTAGCACACAAAATCCGAGCTGTCTTCTGGATCCTCTGTGAAGGGATTTCCTGGAGTAGGAGAGGAGCGCTCGAATTGGGTACAGCTCTCGAGCTTCGGATGTCATCGTAGCCAGCGCTGGTTTTTTCAAATACAGTGCCACAGACGGGAGTTCACCGTCATGCTGACTTCATCCGCCAACTCCATGACATTTTCACGAGCTGAAATCGACTTGGCTATGCCGGACAGAAGAATTTTGAATGATCATGTCATCTCAGCTCTCATCGGCCGTATCAGATCGCAAAAGCAGCTAGTAACAACCGCATGACTTGCAGTGAGAATGTCAACAGTGGAAACGGCGGCGGCACTTGCTTGACATTGTGCTCATTCTGGAGACGACAAGCCAGGCCTTCTGCTGTGCTGTGAGAGAGGCCACTGACAGGAAGTATCTCTTTGGGTCTAGCTTGCCATCACGATGCTCCTTAACGATAACGTGCATGTTCACCGTGGTGGCGATCCAGGAGCAGGAGGAGGTTTCACGTCCTCGCCTGAAACCCGACACGCTGTGTTGGCCTCATCATGATGAAAATTCGGAAAAGCAGACAAAAATAAGAGTAGGAGGACGGGAAGGGCAAAAAGGTCCAAAAAGGTAACAAAAAAAAAACAAAAAGAAAAAGGGCCCTGGGTGAACAATGACATTGGCGGGAATCGGCATGACGTGATCCTGACTCCGACCTCCCACCGAAGTGGTTAGTCTTCTAGACCGGCGCGCTACCACGACTCGGAGGCCGTGGGCGCCCTTGCCCTCTACCGACTACACCACCGCTGCCATGTGTTCTGTTGGGAAAACACACCGATTTGTTCCCTTATATGGCTTCTCCCACGAATGTTTGTATTCTTGATAGGGGGAACTTGGAAAGTGAAGCCTCCCCTGCCCTGCCCCGCTTGCCCTCCTGGCACTACATCTCATCTCGCTTGGTCTTACTTATCTTTACAACTTGTGGCCTTCTTCCTGCCCGGCTGATAAAGTCTTCTTGTTGCAGTTGATCGAGTGCGTTCGCCACTCTTCGTCCAACCCATCTTACCGATCTATACCTCCTCTCCACACCCTCGCTTTCCCGATCAACCGTAAGGCTGTCGAGGCTTGCCACAGGTTGTCGATGCCAAGAATTTCCGAGGCAGCTAGTACGCCGCAGGAGGTACGACGCCTTTCTGTTTAGTGAACATCAATATCCTCTAACTTCGACTTCGGTTCCCAGGTTTCTGTGCTCTGATATCTTCCCCGTCACGCAGGTCATGCCTCCAGCGAGCTCCAAGGGTCATCGAGCTCACGAACCTCAGGTCCAAGGAACCAAAATTGTCTAGATATTGCCATATGCTTGGCCTGCTATCTTGTACGGATCACCGCGATAGACAAGCTCGGCTAGGGATGAACGCTCGTCTTCGGATGGATGTACTAGAATTTGACAGCCTTTTACTCATATGAACTAGATGCAAGAGGGGGGATGGTCGAACCGTGACGGTCTTCATCAAAAAGGCAAGACTTGCGATGCCTTCAACACGCGAACCCGAGAATCGCATTGAGAGTGACAGTCCAGTTCAACAATCACAATATTTCTGATACTGAATGATGATGAAGACTCTCAAGAGAATCAGAGACCAATACAATCATCAAACCTAGGAAGTCTTATTGTCTATTTGAGAGCGGAGACACCCGCTTCCATTTCCAGAGCTCCGTTACCTAAATGTGCCGAGATTCAAGTTACGCTCATCATGAAGAAGCGCCTTCTCATCGGTTTAAGCAAACCTTACTTTGCAATGAAATGAGATGAGTGGACTGGGATGCAGAGGCGAAGAGCGACGAGACCATCGCCTACAACGGCCTTGTCGGTGACGGTTGCCGACCGGTATATCCCATAGGTCGTCTGGATAAGGGGTTCGAAGGCCTCGAGAAATATCACGAGATGCTGCGGCCTTGGCAGGACCTCTCGAACGATTTGAACCAGGTGTTCTAGAATCAGTTGTATAGGTAGAAGAAGTTCAGCCGATGGCAGCAGGACAACAGAGAACCGGAAGAGGAAAAGGAGTTTGCTGCTTATCTGCAGGAGCAGAAACGCCAGGATGCTGAAGGCACAGTAACTCGGCCAACAGCTAGTCAATACCTCGAACAGCTTAGAGATTCTTATGAGAGGAGGCAGCGCTGTTATGGCCATGACGATAGAGACGAAGGGTTTACTACATATGTCGAGGAAAAGAAGCAACAAAATTCTGAAGCCGGGTGTCAATAGCCAGGAAGGACTAAAGTCGAATACATGCGGATGCTTAAGAATCAGTTTAATAAGAAGCAGCCTAGAGAGGGCATCAAGGATGGGAGATGAAGGGTTTGCAGCGTTTGTCGAGGAGAGGAAACAAAAAGACATGGAGGCTCGGCCCGGGGATTACGGAGGACGAGTATCTTCAGATGCACAGGAAAGATCGATCGGGACGGTTATATAGATTCTACCGCAGAGCAGCCGCGAGAAATTGCAATGATGCCTCAGGCACGTTGAGGGGCCTGGCATGACGCGTATCGTAGGGGTCAAATCGATCCGTGCCGATCTCCCGTTCACCTCAGGCCCCGAGCCTACGGCAGGGGAAAACGGAGAGCAACGAGCCCAGGTATCTGTTACATTGCTATTGGTGAGGACCGACAGCGTACGCGGTCGTCTTTAGCCTTTCCGCCTCTCCATACAGGATAGTCCCGATGCGTCTTGGCCCGGCACGCTCTTGCGCGCGGCCCGCCATCACGCCTCTCCGTGACACAATGATATCAGATATCAGAGGCGACACGATAACGAGATGGCTCCACTGCCCCACCCTCGCTAATGATCCTCAGCGGGACGACAGGGTGCGCCTGGGTAGACATCCCAGTGACTTCTCTCCACATCCGCGTGGCTGCTGCGCTCCTAGTAGTTAGTAGTAGTAGTAGCAGCAGCAGCGGCAGACCACCGTCTCCTCCAAACAACCTTGTTGTTTTTGAGAAGGGGGCGGCGGCGCGTAGTAGGACGTGTCTGTGATAGTGTTTGAGAGACCAGCCGATGGAGTAGCAATGAAATTCCATCACTGTCGTCGTCAGAAGAAGGGACCTCATACACGTCGCCCGTCTCTCTCGAGGTTGCCGACGCCCTAAAGAGAACGCGAGGCAGGGTAGAGGTAGGAACAGCACCCGAATCAGGAACGGCCTATGGGATCACACCCGATCGACTGCTGACTCAATATGGTGTTCGAGGTCAGGGGCTTGGCTATGTTTGTGAGCTTGCGGCGCACTTTGGCTTCAATAATTGGGCCTCGGGCCTCATTTTGATCATTCACCGTGCCGACTGACAAGAAGAAGCAGATATACCGGTATATCATCAACCGTCATCGTTAGACAACCACTATTCTTAATGTTATACAACGATGATGGAGCAGAATGTTGCTAATCTGGCGACAAGAAACGAGACCATCTTTGCTGTCTGGACTGGCGTCCAGTTGAAGCGTATCTTGAAAGTAATAGAAATAACTGGCTGGACACCCTTCGAGAATGACGTGCGCAATTGGCTTGGTTATCAGTGATATTTGCGAAGCTATACTCAACTGAATTATATCTATAGCCAACTTAACGTTAATATATTCAAGTATATTTTCTTCTTACCTACTCACACACCCATTTATTCTAACTTATCTCACTAATTATGAGCATTGCCTTCACCAAATCACTTCCACTCCGATCCCAAGGATCCCTCCACACACAGCTGTTTATGAACCCAGCTATCGTGGCTTTCTCGCCTATCTTTGTTGGAGTCAATTCAAAGGCGCACACTCACACACAGCTAAAGCACACTACAGTACCTTACCTTAGCGTGCCTCATCAAGGTTAGCGCCTGCCTCCTGGCCTTACCTTACCTGACTTTGTCTAGCGCAACGCATGGACCTTCCTGCTTGATTGCTTTGAACAGATCTGACGCATTTATTGCTGTTTTTTCGTGTGAGTGAGTTTTGTCACCTTCTTTATCCCCCATCTCCCATCAGCATCACCACCACAGCGCAGCTGCGTGAACCTCCCCCACACATTGCGGTCTGTAGCCATCATCTATGATCATCATGGCTGATGTAAACGGTGAGGCATGGCCACGCAGGAGCCTCCACGAGGACGAGGACGAGGACGAGGCTGAGGACCTGCAAGGTGAGTATGTCCAGCTCACTTGCTAGCTACCTATCCTTCACTATGTGGGTGTGCCTACCTATCCATAGGCTACACTGTGCTGTGCTGTGCTACACACTGCGGATGGAGTAGATACAGTCCTTCTAATGTGCTACTAGGTTGCGATATCACACAGGTCCCAAAGCGCGACGCAGCCGCAAAAATCGTACAGCACATACAGCTGTGTGCTGCTCACGGTGACCGTTTCGGGGGCGAGTACATCACGTTCTCCAGCGTCTCCCCGCGCGTGTTTGAGGATCTCCACGTCAAACTTGCCGGCCGCCACGGTCGCCTAACCTACTTCGGCGCCGACAGTGGCATCCTCCTGGTAAAGATGGCCGATGCAGTCCATGAGATAGTCCACACAACTGCGATTGATGCACTGAGGGACCAGGCCGTTGTGATGGGCCTGTCTCGCAAGGTCTTCCGCGTCGGATCGCCCCGATACTACTCAGCCACCGGCAATGGCAATGGCGCCGCCAAGGAACCCGACGACGGATTAGCCCCAGCTGATTATCGCGCCCATAGCGACAAATTCCCCACCTTTGTTATAGAGGCTGCCAACTCCCAATCCCTCCGTCGTGTCCGGCAGGCCAAGGACTAGTGGTTCGATAACTCGGCCCCGGATCACGAACAGGGTGATGTCAGGGTGGTTCTCATCATCAAAATCGCCAACGATGACCTAAGCGCCATTGATTTGGAGCTTTGGCATCGTAGGTGGAAACGCCCCAAGAAGGCGAGAATCCAGCTCAAGAAACCCACCACCGCCACGAATCAGCCTCTCAACATTACTATAGATGAGAACCCTGCTCTCTGGAGCTGGTCCGGTGTTCCGTTACGTGTCGACTTCGAGGATGTCTTCTTGCGGCCCAAGCAAGGTCCAGAAGAGCAGGATCTCGTGTTGACAAGTGATACACTTGTCAGGATGGCCACACTGGCCTGGCTCAAGCGGCGACAGATACGTCGGGACGACCGGGTTATGCAACGAAAGGAGGAAGAGGCACGCCGAAAGCAACAGCGCGAGAAGCTCGAGCAGAAGAAAGCCCAGGAGGACAAAGAGCGCGAGCAGCGTTTGCAACGGCGGGAGCCACAGCGGTCTCTTTTCCAGCGGACTGAGAAGATGAGGCGGCGCATCACCAAGGAGTACAAGGAGCACAAGGTTAAAGACCAAGGAAAGACAGCAGAGCTGCACATTACCAAGGCGGTCGAGGAGGCAGAGCAGCGTATTGCCGAGGAACGCCAGGCGCGCGAGGAGGCAGAGCAGCGCCAGGAGGAGGCAGAGCAGCGCCAGGCTGAGGCAGAGCAGCGCCAGGCTGAGGCAGAGCAGCGCCAGGCTGAGGCAGAGCAGCGCATTGCCAAGGTGATGGAAGAGGCAGAGCAGCGCATTGCCAAGGTGATGGAAGAGGCAGAGCAGCGCCTGGCTGAGGCGTTGGAGGATACACAGAAACGCCATGCCAAGGCTATCAAATAAGGAGGTGGAAACCCCCGTTGCCAAAGCACTTGATGAACACAAGGAAACTGAGCAGTATCTTGCTGAGTTGAAGGAGAAATAGACATGTTTGGATGATGGAGACTATTGTAGCTGTTATAAGTGATCAAGAGACAAATAGACACAATCAGAGTCTATAGAGGTCTATCATATCATGTCATCTCCTGCTCGGATAGTGGGGTCTAGCTTTGGCTCGTAAGTGAGTCTCGCGTAAAGGACCTCGTGAACACGGCGACAGTGGCTCGCATGGCCGTCTGCAAGCCATCTAGGATCCAGTTCAGAGACGGGATTCCTAGGTGTAAGGCGCCTCCTCTTTCTTGGGGCGTCCCTGAGAAATCGCCCCTTCCGCATTGTGTCTCGCGGCGCCAACGAACTTCCTGTGGCGTATACGGCCCTTGGCAAGGTTCTTGCGCCCAGAAGCGTTGGTGTGATTGCTGCCGGTGCGTTGCAGCGCATACTTCTGGGCGAACCGTTTGCTAACGGTGTTCACCTGTGCTCCTGTATCTAAGTCAATCTTAACCTTGGTCTCGGATGACGACTAGAGCAACCTGTATGTTCTACAGGCCACGTGAAGCCACACCATTTCAATCTTCTCGGACAGTCAGAGCGCGCTGAGGGTATTGAAGGACCCTCAGCAAAAGGACAGCCAGCAAATCATCCGGCAAACCATCCGGCAAACGCTACAGGCGGGTACGAGCGATTGAGGAAAAGGCACATACAATCCAGTTCTACTGGGTGCCGGGCCACTCTGGAGTACCTGGGTTGTTCGACTACCTAATGGACGATATTGCCGGTAGGAAAAAGAGTGGGATCAGGGCGGCAGACAATGGCTATTTATTGGTAAGAACCTCCGTGTGCCGTTACTATGCAGTAGATAGACTTGAATTTGAAATGAAAATGCTCCTCGTCCAATCCCCCGTCACCCAGTAAGAAGGCTTGGGCGTCAAGCGTGCAAGCTGCCGCTGATTGGACACTTCACAGGCGGCACGATTCAACCTTCCGTAGGTACCCATCTACTCCCTACGGCTTCCTTCCTACCTACAATTTGTCGGAGAATGTCATCAAGCTTTCACGGGGAAGGTAGGCAATATGGCTGCTTGTGCGAACACGATGACCCTGCGCCGCTTACTCACGCAGTCGAAGCCGGCGGTCCCTTGCAAGACGAAAGCCAGCAAGAACAGTACGGGCCAGTGGCCCATCGTCGATGACGATGCCATCAGGCTCTGGGACCAGTTCAATATCGACACGCTTAACGAGAGCTACGGCCACATCCTCGACCGCATATTCCCGGCCGAGCAACTGGCGGGGAAAAATCAAACCATCTCTGTAATCCCATTGTAACGTGGGGCCGGCCGGCTGGGACTTCCTTAGTCTCGCGGCCAATTCGCCGTCCTGGCCACAGTAGTAGACCCATGTGGGAGGCTTGGCACGCAGCCGTCTTCGCCGGCTCTTGTTTATGCCCTTGGTTCGCCTCCTCCAGTTATACTGTCTCGGGTCAACATATGTAAAGACACGCTTCCGAGCCGCCTTATTCCTTAGCTCGTAGTGCCGGAGTGGCGGAGAGCCGTGGCCGCCTGGAAACGCGCGCACCGCGATGGTGCCCTTCTCGTCGGCGTGTTGCAGGTTCCAGTCGAACATCATCTCGTCGAATGCGAGATAGTCATCATTCGACAGCTCAAACGTCTCGAGCTCCATGGCGATCCGCATCTCGCGTGTCAGGCTTGGGTTCAGCTCGGGCGTCGTCACGAAATGCGGCACGGTGATGGCCGTGCTAAAATCGCTGATCTTGCCACCCACCAGCTGCCGAGCCGCGACGTCGATGCGCAGGATGCCAAGCTGCTGCAGCCGGCCAATGTCGCCGAGCATCTTGCTAACTACTGCCGGCTGCAGCTCCTCTTCTTCGTCCTGGGGCCGAAACTCCTTCACGACGCCTCGAATCGGGGGCGGCCGACCGTCCCGGCCTAGGAAGCGCGACCGCATGTCATCGCCCCCAGGATACTCTATATCGCCATTAAAGTCGATATCCACGAAGTGGCGGTGCAGCGCGCGCTCGTGGTCCTCGTCCAACAGTATATAGCCGAAACAGCCGACTGCAAGCTTCTCGTGGCCGGCCTCATGGAGCCGCCCAAAGGCGCGACACTCACAGCTGAAGGGCTCCGCATAGTCGTAGAAGGCGCTCATGAGCACCCGATCGTCCGGGTCCGTGTCGCTCGCGGGGCCCAGCCAGTTGTGGTCATAGACGAAACGGAACTAAAAGACACGCGCATGGCAACGTTAGTGAATTTATTCGTCTTTTCCTTCCACGCGTCCAGAAGGTCGATGATGCATCCATCCACTCCATCCGGGCACCTACTAGCTTGAGTGCGTAGATCTGCTCGCGGATCTGCACCTTGAACACGTGCGCGTGCAGTCCTTCGCCGACGTGCTCGAGAAACTCGATTGTTTGCGCGCCTTGGAAGTCAAAAGTCTTCAGCTTGGGCCCATCACACAATGGCAACGGCACCAGATCCACGCTCGATAGCGGCCAATCGGGGTACATGGTGTGCGGCATCGTGAACAGCAACGGCCGGATGCCTGGCCGGGAAAACATCTGCCATCAAGAGTAGTGCTCTGGAAAAATGCATTTTGCTCCGCCTGAAGCTGAAGCGCGCCATCTTTGTGCTGTCTTGTCCTGCGTTGGCTGTGGGTATGTTGGATGGGCAATGGGAACGGAGACCGTACAGCAAAACTGATAATGAGTGAGGTGGCTGAGCTGACAATGTATGTGGGTCTCCACACTACACCTGATAACGCATGTGGGTCTGCCATCTTATTGGCTAAGAAAAGTCACATGTGAGTTCAATAAGTCGGTGAGCAGGTGGCATACAGAGGGGAAATGTTTCCGAAACGTTTCTGAATTATTTCTGGTTATATCGAGAGACAATTCTACCATAATCCAATATGAATTTTGACTCTTACCTTGATGATCGTAGAGAAGTATGACTAAGTAAAGACTTACTGATGCCAGATGAATAACAAAATGACTTTAATGATACTGAATATAATCGAGAATTATACATTATTATTGAACAAATTCTACCTTATGCCAGTCTCCAAGCTTCCGAAGATCTAGTACTATAGAAATACATTAAATAAGTAAAGATCAACGATTATTTTCTCTTAACCATCAAAAACTAATCTACTATAACAATAAGCTAGTACTAAAGAAAATAAGATCTTGATCTCTGTCAGTTTTCCTATGTCTAGGCTTCTTCAACCATACCAAGACATAGTGTTCGTCCAAAATGTTTACTTTATAGCTAGACTACCAAAGATGTTAAAAACAAACGATCAAAATACTATAATTATTATTATGATAGAAAGTTTAAGCTTAAAAAAGATTAAAAAATTATAGAATATTATAAGTAAAGAGATTACTTTAAATAATCAAATACTAATTTCGTTTCTTAAGATTCAATATAATACTACTTGCAAATATCTAGCTTTTATGATAAGATGTATTATACTTAAGGAAGCTTCTATAAAATGTTATATATATACTTGCTAAGAAGGCAAAGGCTATAAATATTCTAACCTATTTTTTTTCAGTTATGATAAAGTTATACTAAACCTTTTTACCAAGATAATTAAACTTTAAGAAGAGGTTAAGAAATAATACTTTCAAAAACAAATTCTTAGGTAAATGAATATTCTTATCTACTGATTTTTGAGTTGTTAGTTAATTTATCTTATAAAATTTAAGTATTATAGAAGTTATCCTTCAACACTTTAAGAAAAGCAAAGTATATATCTCTTAATAAGACACTTATATTCTTATCTTAAAAGAGATAAATTATATAGTAAGTATATTCTTTAAAGTTATATTACCTTAAATATTAATATCATTCTTAAAGAGTATATTGTAAATCTTTAATAATATATAGTTTGATATAGCAACTCGATCATACTTTCAAAAGTCAAAGAATACTTTTAGTCTTCTTTAAATACTATATAAGGACTATATATCTTACTTATTAAAGTTATATTATCTTGAACTGATGTTGATTTACCAGAAGCTTGAGATTAGAAAAGCTATCTGTTTACAACAAACTTACGAAAGCGACCGATATATAGTATGTAAATTTCTTAACTAAATTTAAAATATATTAAGTTAATATTCTATTAGATAAGGTTCATTATGGCGGTTTTATAAAGATAGTTTAAGTCTCTTATAAAGTAATATTATACTTCTTTATTTCTTTTGATTTAAGTATGACTTTATTTATCATTATTATCTCTTATAGTCAATATAAATACCTTCTAATACTATCGGTCAAACCATTTTTATCTATTGTTAATAGCTTAGTAAGAGTTCTCTAAAAAATTAATAAAATATAAATAAGTCTAAGTAATTTACTTTTAGAATATATATAAAAAGAATACTAATATTAACTTAGATGCTTTTTTACGTTTACCTAAGTTAAAGAACTTTATTAAAAAATATAAAGAAAGAACAATTATAAATATATATTAAAATCTTGCAAATAGTAACTGGCTTTAAGCTTTAATTCGTAAACAATAAGTCATCATATTTCCTAAAGATACTTATACGTTAGCTCTAGCATTTGAAGAAGCTAAAGAACGAAATTCTCAAAGTTATATAAGTAATACTACTTAACGATATATAAAACATTTATCATTAATAAGTCAACTTTAGTATATATACTAAGGATATATAAATTATATAATTATCTATTTCTTTTATAAGCAAGCAAAACAATAAACTTTTTCAGATATAAAGTCTTTTTCGATAGATGCCATGTAAGGAACCCTTAGAAA